CGGGAAAATACCCCCGGGTCCTCTGATTCAGTTCTCACAGGTTCCTCAGCTCCTGCCGCCTAGAAAGAGGAGGAAAAGATGGAGTTCTCGCAGGTCTCTCAGCTCCCGCCGCCTACAAAGGAGAGGAGATCACCGCATGTAGAGGGCAGTCGGGTTGCGCTACACCAGGGAGCTCTACCATCCCCTGAGTTACAGGCCGCCTAGGAGCAGGTCATATGACGAGTCCACCCAAGTAGCTCACCACCAGGGAGCTCGTCACCAAGTAGCTCACCACTAGGGAGCTCACCACCAGGGAGCTCGTCACCAGGTAGCTCACCACCTGGGAGCTCGCCACCAGGTAGTTCACTGCCAGGGAGCTCGTCACCGGGTAGTTCACCACCAGGGAGCTCATCACCAGGTAGCTCACCGCCAGGGAGCTCGTCACCAAGTAGCTCACCACCAGGGAGCTCGTCACCAGGTATATCATCACCAGGGAGCTTGTCACCAAGTAGCTCACCACCAGGGAGCTCGTCACCAAGTAGCTCACCACCAGGGAGCTCCACCATCCTCTCCTGGGAGCAGGTCAAATGGCGAGACACTTGGCCAAAAAAAAATTGATACATCACAAAAAATTGGTACGTGACTAGAAACGGTTACATCAATTGGCGCCATCTGTGGGAACACACTACAAAAAGCTAAGTTCTCATCCTACAAAAGCTAAGTCCTCTTCTCTTAGAAAGCTAAGTTCTCACTTTTTAGAAATTGAAGCTCTCGCTTTATAGCTTACATTTTTTATGAACTCAAAAACTACGTAGGAAGCTAACAGACTAAGTTTACTCTCAATTCAGTTAAAGCCTCATCAATCCTCTTCGCAAGGTACCCCCTACAAAGATGAGCTCTTCGTGGCTTCCGCGGGAGTTGGCGGCYAACAGACTACATAGGCGCCCTTACTGGTCAAGCCTTCCAAGGCTCCCGTGTGAGCTAGCGACCTAAAGTTAGTAGTGCTGCCCCCGAAGGTCGATCTCCTAGTAGCTTCTCATAGGAGTGGGTGACCGGCATTATGGAGCTGATGTAGCGCAATCATAGCTCTAAGGCACCCACCTGATCGGCTCGGCACCTTACAGGTGGCTCGACACCTGGTCAGCTCGACACCTTATTGGTAGCTCGACACCTTGCAGGTAGCTCGGCACCTCACTGGTATCTCGGCACCTAGTCAGCTCGGCACCTCGCAGGCAGCTCAACACCTGGTCAGTTCGACACCTGGTCAGTTCGGCACCTCACAAGCAAAGCCTACAGGCCACATTACTGCTTAAGACCCGATCGCCTCTTCGGCACGGGCAAAGTAAAAAAAGAGTGGACTACAAGTCACTCCCAAAAGCCTACAAGCCACATTACTACTTAAGACCCAATCGCCTCTTCGACACGGACAAAATCAAAGAAGAGTGGACTACGAGTCACTCCCAAAGCCTACGGGCCACATTACTACTTAAGACCTAGTCGTCTCTTCGGCATGGGCAAAGTCAAGAAGAGTGGACTACGAGTCGTTGCCAAAGCCTATGGGCCATACTATTGCTAAATACCCAGTCGCTTCCTCAGCATGAGTAAAATCAGCAAAAGTGAACTATAAGTTGACCTTAGAGCCTAAGGGCTACATTACTGAACTGGTGGAGACCTCCTCACCTTATAGGCAGCTCGCAAAGCCTAAGGAATTGGATTAGCACTTAGTAGCTCGTCAACTTACGGGCCAAAAGAAGAAATCTACTCCCTTTGCTGAGTTACTCTCAGCTCGGGAGTGGGGGGCAACTGATGAGGGCGGATTTGGCCCTCCAGTGAAATTGTGACACCTGGCACCTCATGCAAACCAAGTGCATCCTCTTGACAACTAGGCAGCTCGGCATGGCTCGCCACAGACAGCTCGGCATGGCTCGCCACAGGCAGCTCGACAGAGCTTGCCACAACTTGCCACTTACAGACAGCTCAGCATGGCTTGCCACAGGTAGATCGACAGAGCTTGCCACAAGCATCTCGGCATAGCTCGAGGAGCTCGGTATAGCTAGGGGCAGCTCGGCATAGGCAGCACGCCACAGGCGGCTGGCCACTCCGTAGGCAACCTGGTGTCTTACGAAGAGCTCGCCACTTAGGGGCAGCTCGACACTTACAGGTAGCTCGACACTTAGGGGCAGCTCGGTGTATCGTAGGAAGATCTCCTGCCTGACAACCGAACCTGACAGATCCGGAGACATGCGCCCACGTCTCTCGCTATGCGGCGCCGTGCCTGCGAGTCCTGAGAGTTGTCCCTTGATTGGCAGAGGCATACTCTGCAGGAGCCGCCTGCACCCGCCACCTCAGCTCTAGCAGTAACAGCTACGACAGAGAGACAGAGGCGGTTACGCCTGACTTGACAGAGGCTGTTACGCCTGATTTGACCGGACACCACTATATAAGGACTCCGACCTCCAAAGACAAGAGGGAGAGAATGAAAAAATGGAGGTAATCCCTACTCTCTAGCTCTCTCATTTCTCTCCAAGCTCCCTACAATCAGAATGCTAAC